AAAAGAAACTGCAATCAAATGATGCCACCATGGAATGTGGAGAAAATACAGTGGCACTTGGTCCAGGTTTGAGTGTATCAAGTGACTTGGCATACTCATTTAAATTCTCTAATGGAAGTTCTTTCTCTGCAGTCATACCTAGAATATTTTATTTCTTTAAGTGATGTGTTCTGGGACAGAGTTTTGCACGAAGGCATCAATTTTTATGCCTGACTGGAACTGCTGGCTGTCCTTTTTAAGTATCATCTCGTTCCTGCCTCAGGACAAGTGCCACCTACTGACAGCAAGAGCTGCTTCTGCTTGCTTAACTAAATTCATCAAGAATTTTAACCATGGTTCCTGTTGTTTCAGCCAGCTTTGCTTCAAGTCCAAATGGTGAACAGAGGCCTCTAAGATGAAGGAATATTTAAAAAATCTGGAATGGTATGTGCTTGAGTCCATTTAAAACCCGCCTGTTCAAGATGCTGATGACTGATGAAGAATTCCCTAACAGCACCATCACCAGTCACTCCACCAATCTTTTCTGAAAAAAAAAAAAGCAAATCCAACAAAAGCATTCATACTGTATGGATTATCAAGTATTTAATTCAAAAGGCAAATCAGAAACAAATCAAAAGAGCCAAAAATCAGTAGAAATGCATGTCTAAACCTGAACAAAGACACAAAGCTCTATGCAAAGGAGTCTGAGTATTACAGGAATAATAAAAGTACTGCTGCATAGTAAAAACTCAGCTGCATTACTTCATGTAAAAGCATTCTGGAAAAAATTTGCTATCAATTATGCCTCTCCCCTACATACAAGCTTCATAAATGAAGTATAGGGTTTTAAGAGATATTTTCTCTTTCTTTTGTCAGGTCTGGAGTCATTAAACAGAGATTAGCTGGATAAATAGAGGAAGTGATTTTTAAACTGTTTGCAAACTTAATGTGAAGAGCCCAGCCTTGCAAATTATCACGTCTAATCAGAGATGCACGCTTCACTGCTCCAGTAATTGTACTAGTATTAGTCAAATTCTTGTTGTCTCCTCATTAGCCATGAAAAGGAGACTCAAGATGTACTTCATTAGAGTATCCTGAATATAAATTTTTAGTGTAAGGAGGAAGAGATGTGTTACATACTGCGCTTTATATAGAGAGAAAAAATATTAAGGACATAAAACATATTGAATCATTCTGGTTTTTGACTGAATGTATGTCTTTAACAACCAAACCCCTCTTTTGTCTTTTCATTTTTTACTGTCTTCATCCCTTCTTTTATTTGCGGTGAAACTGTAGCACTTGAAAATGTAATTTACAACCAATGTCATAGAAATATATTAAGAAATGTTCTGTATTATGCAGCCATTCCCATTTCCATAGGCAGAAGAACACAGCTTAATCACGAGCTGTCTTTAGTAGAGACTTTTAGTAAATTTTTGACTACTGGATAGGTGATCTAACTTGCATTAAATGTAGATCAAATCAAAAGGTTTGTTCCTTTGATCAGCAAAGCATTTAAGTACATGCTCATGCCCTTCTTTATTTAGTAATGCCCTTAAGTATATGACACTAAATCAAGAGAATTTAAACACATGCCTAATATGTGAAGCATGTGCTTAAGGGAATTGGGGTTTAAAACATCCAGCTTGAAAAGGATTTCCAAACAGGTCTATTAGAAGGCTAAAAGCAAAAACATTCCCAAGAATTTCAGTAGAAGGAGAGGCAAAGCAAATTTTCACATTTGTTTTTTCACAGCTATTTTTTTTGGTGCAAATCCCAGACTGAAATATTTGTATTATGCAATAACAGTTAAGGGAAGCTGAAAAGGAACTACGCAGGTCACCAAAATGCTACCAGTAGATGTCTTCTACCTCTCTGCTTTATGACAATTAAAATGAACCAGAAAGCAAAAAACATGCAAAAATGTACCCTTTCACCCCTGGAACTACAGCACTAGATCACCAGGAGTTCAGATTTGTGGAAACTAGAATCTAAGCCAAATATGGTCTAGCATTTATTTTTGTGGAACACTAGGAATGAGGACTGTAGACAATTCCAAAGGGGAGGCAAGTCCATAATGCATTGTCCAGCAACTCTGTGTACTGCAAGAACGTGAACTGGATTTCTAGGCCTGAGGTTTGCTCCCCAAGTTGTCTCTTGTCAGAACACAGCAATATTCTCACCCAGTTTCAGCTCTATCTCTCAATAAAATACTAAAATACTCAGTTCATTATTATTTACTATAATTTATGCAGGAGCTCATCATGGAAAGGGTGATGCATTCTTGGTCAAAGTATCCTCCACAAAAAAAAAAAAAAAAATCTAAATACTTCCAGGTGCCTCTTTGAACAATATTAAAACACTTCAGAAACCTTTCATTCAGAATTAATTAACATAAAAAACAGTCTCCACAATACGGCACAGCCCTAAAGTGGTTTGTGGAATTTAATTAGGCTAACCTTCTTTTCACTACATTGGTACCACTCTGTAAGAAGTGGAAATCATTATTTAATCCTTTGGTGTTCACTGTAATAACATTAAACATGATTAACTCTTTTAGTAGTAAAGTGTATGTAGCACATAATTCCATAATTTTGCATTAACTTGAAATTAATTTATGAAATATACTATTTGTCACCATACACTAAACACTAAAAAATTTCCTCCTCATCATAGTATTAGGATAATAAGATGATATTGAAGACCCCATCCAACTCAAACTACTCTGTGATATGATTGTGTGAATAGTTCAGTAATTTGTAATTTTGGAAAGAGGAGGCATGTCAGTGCAGTGAGAAGAAAATCAAAGCAAGGTCAAGTCCAGTCAGAGTGGCTGTTGGTACTGTATCCCCAAGAGATCTGTGATACAGATGGTTTCTTTGGTCTAGCCCTTGTTGAAAAACCCTGAAGGAAAAAGATTGTTTAGCAGTTTCTTGATTTCTCTGGAATTTCAAATAAATCCAGAACTTTTGTATTTTTTATAAAGATACAATTTACTGTCAGAAAACTTCACCTGTTCATCAACTGCATCACTGTGTGAAAAATACAGCACAGAGCTTGAAACTCAGGGGGGAAAAAAAAAGAGGAAAAAAAAGGCAAATACAAAGCACAAGTGCTTGTCAAGTGACATATCTTGTCACTAGAAATAGTTAAATGATTAAGTATAAGATTATATCAGACACCAAACATATACAAACATCCTCAGTGAATGATACTAATGGAAAACAGTTTTGCCTTTCCACAGATGATTTGTTTTCATCACTGGACAATGCAAAATCTTTTATTAAAAATTCACAAAGGATGCATTTGGAATCCTTTTATCTGTCTGTCTAAAGTATTTCTAAGGTGCCAATCACTATAATATCTATTAAGAGAATAGCTGGATTTTACTAAATACAAAAAGAGATTCCAAAAGAATTCAAGATGAAAACACCTTATCCAGCTACTTGGAGCTGGGCTCAAAGCCCTTGTTGGTGCTGGGAAAGGCTTCTCACAGCAGCTCTGAGGATGTGCCTTTGGCCAAGTGTGGACACAAGCAGCACTTCACCCCACGGGCAGAGCCCAGAAGCTGATGAGAACACCTTGACTCCCACTGCCTACAGCTCTGAATTCCTTCTGAAATTATGGATATTACAGCTTAGGGACTACGCTATAGCTGACAAACTGTGTGTGAGAGTGAAGCAATAGCACATGTAAGCATATGTTGTGAGTGGGAATGAATTTCAGTGTGTGTTTGCACACTTGACTGTGCTATACCCCTCACCACTTGGGCAGATCTTCAGTGGATTTTACATCAGCATTGCCTCAGCAGCTGCCTCTCCCTTAAATTTGTTTAAGTGATGTATGTCCCATAATTTTGGGTGTTGAGAAGTATTTCCCATAGTATATGACTAATACTTCACATATATTTTACTCTATATAATTATTTTCCCAATACACTAGGCTTATGTAAAAAATGGCTATTTAAACAATTTCTTCTAGCCTTATATTTAAAACTGTACTTTGCTCTTAAAAAGGTATTAAGCTAATTCACATAAAAGACGACTCTTCTTTGGAAAAAGTCAAGGATGCTTTGCCTCACCTATTTCCTTCTGTGATTTAATGATGGATAAAACAGACCAGAAGGATTAGATCTCCTAATACAGATAGTTAGCTGCAGAGCTTGCATAATAAATACCTTCCTCCTTTCTATTATTGATAATGTTAATTTGTCCTGTTCAGGGCAAATTTGGGAGAGAACCCCCAAAGGAGTTCCTCTAGAAAGCAGATTCAATTGGTCCCTCCCACAACCAGTTTGGGAAAAAAAGATACCTCCTCGGAGAAAAGTGGAAAAAAAAAGTATATTAAACAATAAAACCTGAACAATATTAAACAAAGCCTCTTGCCACTCTAAAAGAGAGAAACTCAGCAGAGTCCCCTCCCTGGATTGCAGCTTGGCTCACTCGGTCTCTTATGAGCCCCTCCATGTGCTGGAAGTGTGGCAGCCCGGCACGCTGGGCCACGAGCTGCCAGTGCTCTTCTGGGGTTCAGTCCAGAGCAGGTTTAAACAGGTCCAAAGGAAAGGGAAAAAACCCCCCACAATCCAGGAACTTCTTTGGCTCAGCTAGCTAAAACTAGCTAACACCAAAGGAGAGCTCTGTCCCACTGTCTGTCCATCCACATACAACACAGTCCAGGAGCAGGAACATGGAGGAGTGAGTGCAGTTTCTGAAAACAAACTCCATGCTTCCTCTCCTCCCCCTTTGCTCTTGGAATAGGTCATAAAGGTGCAAAACTTATTATTCAGCATAAACAGAACAGACAATTGAACAGACAAGCATCATACAGCCAACCCAGGACACCCTGTAAAGAAGAATCAGCCATGATCCTGTGGTACAGCCTGCACTAAGCTTCATATTTAAAATGTATATCCAGCTATTTAGTAAGACACAAAGAATTCAGCTTATTTGCTCTCAAATCATAACTTTTTTTGAATGCAGAAAAACTTTAATAATGTATATATTAATACCCAAATGACTTACGATTAAGAAGTCTCCTCAGACACAGTGTTTAAAGTTGAAACTTGACTGAATTCCATTTATGTTCAACATCAGTGATAATTCACTCTGTGCTGCAAAGAAAGAGAACAGTTTGGAAGAATTATATTATTTTCTTTTTATATTTGGTATTACAATTGTGTTCCTAGTCATGCTGGAGAGCTCTTCCTCATTCTGCATTTTCTGTGTTTCCCTCACTGGTACTGGAATTTACCCATCAGAACTGGAGAGGGACAAATTTCAATTAGCCTGTCTCTCATTAGAAGAGCTGTCAGGGTCTTTTTGTGAACTGCCACAGTCTAGCACTGGCCTAATTCCAGCACTGCTTTAATGCTTTTTCTCCTGCTAACTCTGCTCTTTTTCTTAATCTTACTCTCCATTTCTTGACATGCTGTTTTCAGCCTCATTTTCATTTCCCCAATGTACATAGTTTATACATCCTTCCTCTATCCTTCTCTTGCCTCAATCCAGCATCTAGCCTTCAAAACTCAAACACTTGCCCTTGTCATTTTTCTTTTCTCTTCAAGTTTTCCCCTTTGATGAAGGCCCCTCTTTTCTTCCAATCATCATTTTGAAAAGAATTCCCAACAAATTTCCTCTCTGTACAAACTGAGACTTTGTCTAAAGAGACCATTTTTACCACAACTCAAAACACACTTCTGCTGATACTACAACATCACTCAACTCAAGGTCATAAAACGTAGCTTATATATTTTACCAGCCTAGTGATTTCAAGTGTTTATTCTCAACATATGTGAGCCTGAATTAAAATTTCCAGCACATGCCAGAAAGGTATTGCTCCAAACAAATTACTACTGAAATGACTTCATGACACTGCCATTCCAGGAAAAGTATCCTAGGTATTCTATTGAAGGCTGAGCCAAGCACCATTCAGAGATCTACAAACAATATTTACGCACTCTATAAAGTACCTGTCACCCCTAAGTATTCTTTTGTTTTTTTATGAACTATCCCTATGTAGATGTCTTTGGACAGCATTTGTTGGACAAAAGTATCCCAAGAAGAAGTTTTAGTAAAGTATACAGGATTAGATTCTTATAGAACAAATGGTGTAGAATGTCTGATATTTCTGGAACAAACAGAAAGCTTGGGATTAATAGAAGGCTCAGTAGAAAAATACCATATTGATTGCTTGGAAACTTTACTATTGTATAATGTGGGAATAAAAGAATACAGACTATTTAGGAGTTTTTTTTTTTAAGACTCCTTAAAATTGTTCTCAGCAATTGCTGTGATTTAAAACATCCTTTTGTGTGTGGAATCGCATGCAGAGAAAAAAGCTAAGTCAATTAACTACACTCAGAAACTGGACCAGGTAACATTCATGCTACAGTCTCTTTACATAACACAGAACACTTGTGAAAATGAATGAAACAGGAAGCTTCCCAAAATTATATCAAATTCTTGACTAGAGTAAATGAGCACAGCTCTTTTGTGTTTTGAAAGTGGGAGGAATTTATATGGCTAAATTGTTATTTAATCATTGATTAATAATAAGAATCATGTCTCAGTAATAAGATTTTATACTCCTGTCTAATATGCCCCTGCAGGTTTTAGCTCTGCCTTCAAAAGCAGAGGTTACCCAGCCATTTCCTAGAGCTTCTACCTCTCTTCCATGTTCAGAAGTAGCAGACTCCCAACCCAACACAATGTATTGTAGTTGGAGCCATTTATTTCCCTGGAATAAAAAGGCACTTAAATGCTTCCCACACCAATAAAATATCACAAAGAGCTCCTTCCCTCCTTTTCCCCATCACACAGCAGAGGGACAACTAAGGCTCTGTATTAGCCCAGTGGCTAATACCAGTCAGAGCCTGGTGCCAATAGTGCCAAGGTTGAGGGTTTGACCCATGCAGGCCATTCACTTAAGAGTTGGAATCAATGAGCCTTGTGGGTCCCTTCCAATTCAGAATATTTGGGGTGATTCTGTGGTTTTCTCTACTCAAACATCAGTTCCTCTTCTCTGAGGTCAAGGAGGCACTTGCAAGGCTATGCTCCTGTGGGAGACTGGCTTAGTTCTCCAGAGCAATGCAGTCCTTCAGCAAACTGACTCAGGGCTATTTGTGCCCAGGACATGCTTCCCACAGCAGACTGTGCCCCACACCTGCCCTGCTAGAAAAGCTTGCCTGGGAACTTGCAGTTACTACTGGCAAGGTAAATACTCCTGCCAGTAACTCTGCATGGCATGACTCTGTAAGCACAGACTGCTCCTTGCTCTTCAACAACCTATGGATGGTTCTTACAGACCTCTTTGCTGTGTGTCTAAGCTTCTCCGAGTGCTACATATGCTAATTATTAGCAGCATTTTCAGGTAATCCCCATCTATTTATATGTTCCCAGCTACACCAAAAGGAAACGTCACAGGTTGTTAGCTAAAAACCACCTAAAAATGTAAATGGGTTGCTTTCAGTGGCAGGGAGGCAAGGGGGGGACATTAGTAGGGGTTTGGTAGTGGTCTTGGTTCACCTTCTAATAATAAACTAACTCAAATAGTGAATATACTGAGATTAGCCTTGAAGCTGGAGTAGCTGGTGAGAACCAAAGATCAATGCAAGTCACTTTGATGCTGTCAAGTCACATCTTTTAAAGAATTGTGATGAAACCAAGGGCATAGAGCTACTTGCAGTTCACTCATGCAAAACCAACACTAAACCTTGTGGATGCTGCACAGGTCACCTCGTGGTGGCTCTTGGAGGTGGGAATCAAACTGAAAGCTTCATCTCTATTCTAGTGAAGCATCACCCACATCTACAAAGTTTATGGCAAGTCTACTGTGCCTCTATGACACAATGATCAGAATATCAACCTCTTCCATCAGAAAATCCTTCTTCTAAAGGCTGGGGTTGCTTCACAGAATCTCATAGAAGAGAGCCTTCTCTCCAGTAAGTATTGCCTTAGTGGACAGAAGGCTGGCTATGCCCTTCCATTAAATATGCCTGTTGCATCAAAGGATACTAAATAATGATTTTATCTAACTTTTTAAAGATACTTCTGAGGATGAAACCAAGAGTTTACTGCATTTTTCAAAATCATTTAAGCGAATATTGCAACCCTGAGCAGCTTCAAGGAAATTGTCTTGAAAGGAAGACATTTTATTTGTTGTTTTGCTCTCATATAAGGTCACAGGATCTCAACACACCTCTGTGAACTAAGCCAAATTTCAGATGTGACTGTGTTTTTTCACAATTAAAAAAAATCCCTCACTTCCCACACCCTCATCACCTTCCTGACAAATTCCAGCTTCCTCTCATGCTACTGTTACAGGGAAGCTACTCACTTAAAAATGCAGGTATTTGAACAGTGGTTGTGATGATAACTTACCTTGTGCATTCTTTACAAACACAAATATATATAACCATACTTACAGAAATCTGTTAAGGATAATACACAATCAGCTTACAATCAGTACTGAAAGCATTAGAGAAAAAATTCTGGGTCCAAATTGGCCTTTCTTGGATGTGTAGGAATGGGTCAGACAGAAATTGCCAGAGCAGCTCTGGGCAATACACCATCTGACACAGCATATCATGAAAATCACCCTTTTTCCTCCTTTGTGATTACTCCTGTTTCATGATGGGAGGGAGCTACATAAACCAAATACCAGGGCTCACTAAGGAAAGCAAGGAATAACCTGGAATCAGTACAAGCCAACAGCTTGAGAAAATATAGGAAAATTTTTTAGAATTTTAATCCAAACTAACTAATCAAAAAAGCCCCCCAAAAAACCAAAGAGTTATAAGGAACTTTTCAGAGGCCCCTACTTACCTGAGTTCTGAAGCGATGAACAGCTTGATTACCCTTTTCCCTACTTTTATAGCCTCTTCTACCTGCTCAGCACAGGTGTTCTGCATTCCCATTTCAGCACAGGTGTGAATCCTTACACAAGGCTCAAACAAGGAACTTGTGTGAGGGAAGGTTTGTTAGCTCCAGGAGAGCTCTCCATTTCTTTCTAGCAAGTCTTTCTTTGCATTTAAGCAGTTGTGATGTACCTCAGAGAACCTGATTCAGCAGGCAAATTGTTTAGGCTAGAACCCTAATTCTGAGCTCATGATACAAACGATGTGGAGGAAATGAAAATAACCTTCATAATCTCACAGAAGTGTTGAAATTACTGACAGATTCTTTCTATTTTTTCAAACAAGAAACACCAAACTATCTTTTTCTAAAAGAGCAGTTCTTTCTTTGCAGCCACTATTATGCACTTGCAGCATAACAGCATTACTAATCCAAACATTGGGCTGGGTGCCACAGAAAGGACTAAGGAAAACGACTCAGTGAAAATCATGTCCGTTTGTCTTTGTTTAGGTTGCACCTTCCTAACTCCTTCTCACTGCTGAGGATTTCCCAGCCCCTGGATCTGTTGATTTTTACCTGCTGCTATCCCCTGCCCTGCCTGTCTTGGTGGCAGCTGTCACACAGCCCCACCAGCCATACTGGCCTTCCCTTCTAAAGCTGCATGCTTCTCTCCCCACTCTGCAGCTAGCCTGAGCAGCACTGTAGGAATATTCCCCAGCATATAATAAATAATCTAATATAATCTAGTGGGTAAAAAAAAATAAATCTTAAAATCATTAAACTCTCAGCTTAGTTATTTATATTAAGTATTTTTGAAAAGGGAAGAGAAGACAAAGGAAGATGTTTCATTAATTTTGTTGCAGGTTTTTTTCTTCCAGTACAATGCTTTGAACAAATTATTTTCCACAGGGGAAAAAAACCCCAAAACAAAACAAACCCAAAAGAAAACATAGCAACCCTACAGTAAAATGATGGGCAGTGCCTTTCTTTTTAATCATATAAATTATTGCCAGCTGACTGATGAATACACTCTGGGCAACATGACACAGTTTAGAACCTTAAGGATTACAGTAGTCCAGATGCTATCATCTTAATTGGAAAAGCACAGTATTGCCAACTGTCCATGTTAGAAAATGGAAGATTACATTATTATTATTTTTCCTTCACATTCCCCTGCTTTCCTTTCCTCTAAACAGCCAAGAACTATTAGATCTTTTGTATGGTTTTCTTTATTGAAGTATTTTTATCAGCTTA